GAACTTTCTGTTTCTTGGCTTGGGAGGGACCAGCTGCATCTATTGGAGCTTCTTTCCTACATTTTAAAGGTGACATTACATATTGTGAAGTGAAAAACAATGAGATAGATTTAGTGCACAGAAACATACCTTTTGTTAGCCTTGTTCCTTGGTGGAGCTCTCTCACCATCTTCTCCAATCTCTGCCCATTTGTAAGTTTTTGAAAAGTGGCCAAAATATCCACATCTCCTACATTTGACCTTCTTTTTGGATGCCATTTTCTCCAAGCAACCTCTTTGCCTTTGAACCTTTGGTCTTCCTGCTCCTCTGCCTAGCAACGGTGGATACACTTTGAATCCAAGTTCCACAACAGGACATTGTGACCTATTTGGGATAGGTTCAATTCTGTCCTCATAGGTTGCCTTGAACCTAGCCACTGAGTAATACTCATGGACAAAATCTTCAATTTTCACCCCTCTATTGGATAGGATCCATGCCAAAGCATGTTTGCAGGGCTTCCCTGTCAACTGCCACTCCGTGTAGGAGCATTTATGGTTCTGCAAGTCAACTGTTTGTCTTTTCTGATTGTTCCACTCATCCAAGATGGTCACTTCTGCAATATCAACATCACTAACTGATACCTTGACCACTTTGAGGTTATTGCTGATCAAGTTGAGCTCCTTCATCACATTTGGGAGTATTCCATCTGTCCACTGCCTAGCAAGCATCTTCCTAGTGTATCTCTTCTTCATGATCAGCTCTCTGATTCTGTCAACTAATTCATGCAGTAGCAGACCTTTAAACTTCTTTATTTGTGAATTGAAGCTCTCTGAAACATTATTTGTCAAGTAGTCACACTTATTGTTTTCTAAAAATGCACACTTGTACCATATCCTGTTGTGGTGCTCCTCAAGGTACTCAATGGATTCAGGTGCAAACTCAACAAATTTCTTCATGTGCCACTGAAACAGCCCTTGTGTGTAGCTTCTAGCTATAGGGTACAAGCGATCAGTGAACACCTCACCAGAATATTTCTTCAAAAAATTCTGATACAAATGCCTCATGCACTCCCTATTTTTAGCTTGTGGGAAGACAGACCCCACTGCAGTCTCTAGTCCTTGACATGAATCTATACATATAACCAGATTTGGAACATCTCCTACAACCTTATGCAGCTGCTACAGAAACCATTTCCAATTATCTTCAGTTTCGGACTCGAAAATTGCATAAGCTATATGGTACAACCAATTGTGCCCATCCACACCAGTAGCTGAAGCTAACTGGCCCCTATATTTACCATGCAAATAGGAAGCATCTACCCCAATAAAAGGTCTGCAACCAGATAAGAATCCATCCACACATGGTCTAAGAGCAATAAACATCCTCTTGAATCTGTTTTTTGTGCCAATCTTCTCTAACTCTATCTCTACTAAGCTACTAGGGGATACTTTCTCAATTTGAGTAGCCCAATTAAAAAGCAACTGAAAACTCTCCTCATATTTACCATGGATCTGCTCTAAAGCTACCTACATACCTGACCATGCCTTGGAGTATTTCAACTTAATGCCATAGTCACCCTCCAATTTGTCCCTGCAGTCAGTTGCACCTTTGGTTGGATTCTTCTTCAGCCAGTCTGCCAACCTATCTGCACACCAACCTTGGGTGGCCATCTTCCCTTCTCTGAGTTTTGTGGTAGGACAGTTGTGTTCAAAAGGTGGCCTTTTGATCTACACAAACAAATGCAATAGGACATTAGTTGCATAAATAACAAATTTAATAAACAAACAACTCCAACAGTAATGACAAATTTACCTCTATTGTCTTGCCATAAGAATTTCTAGAAGCATGTATACGCCAAGGACATCCCTCTGCTTTACACTTGGCAATAAACCTAGTCTGGTCAGTTTGCACATTAGCAAACTCAAAGCCTCTCTTCACTGCATGATGCCTAATTGCCTTCCTAAATGCAACAATATCAGGAAAGAGCCCTCCTTTCACAATCTTGGGGTTTTCTGGATCATGAATCACATGGACCTCCTGTGGATCTGCATCATCTCTGCCTCAAGAGGAACACCTCCTTCAGCAGCACCAAAATCATTTGCATCAGCATTAGCACATGGTTGTGGGTGAGAACTGTTAGTAGCCTGTGCATTGTTAGTGTACTGATGAGGAGGTACTGGCATATACATTCCCTCATCATCGACACCCACATACTCCTCATTATCAAACATGTCTGGCTCCCTGTCAGGCTCTAAAGGATACTCTGGTCCTTCATCTGGCTCAGTAGTAGGCTTGGTAGTAGGGCTAACAGGAGGATTAGGCTGCTCAGCAGGATCTGGAATAGGATTCTCATGCCTATTGGGATCTAGAATAGGATTCTAATGCTCAATAGGAGGAATCACACAAAGAGGCTCTAGGCTAGCAAACTCATCAACATCTGCAACTTTTCTTTCAAAAACTCCTACAACAAGTTGGCAATGCATCTGATCCTTATACATTTCAAACACATCATTCAGCTGGAAGTCATTAACTAGTCTGATGTCTTCACACATCCTTTTGTCAAAGAACCACACACAAGGACTCTGGGTAGGGGACCATTTGAACCGATTGGTCAAGCTTTGCATCAGCAACTCAAAAGTGAACAATCCTACCTCCACATCCCATTTAATCACACTACCCTTCGTGTAAGCTTTCCTACCATTACTGCCTGTAGTACATAAACCTTCAACTTTAATCTCTAAGGAGAACAACCGAACCCTAGCAGCAAACAAACAAGTCACAAAAAAATACACTAGGGTCAGCGCAATTCCTCGACCTACTCGCATCGCTACTCAGACTCAAGAGATTGAAGGTTGGAGATCCATACCTCTGCTCGTCGTGCTCCATGTCCGTGGGGTCAGCCATTGCGCTCACTCGAACACCATCATGAGGTCACTGGAGAGGCTCCAATCGTCCGGGATCCAGGAGGATAGCTCGGGCGCGGGCGGCAGTGGAGTTGGGCGGCGGCGGCAGTTGACTCGGGCGCGCGGGCTCCAGGGCGCCCGTGGCTAGGGTTAGGGTTCCGCCGCCATCACCGCGTCGGGAGGACAAGAGAGTGAGAGACAGAGTGAGTGCGAGGAGGAGAACAAACTGAGAGATGGGGCCACGGGCGCAGGATTCTTTCAGCTTCGGGACGGGGGCAAAAACGTCCATACAGAAAAGCGAACAATACGCATACGACTGTAAGTGGGCCTAAGCAGCTAAAAGACGTAAAAAATGGCAAAACTCAGTGAAACATTAAATTATAATGGTAAATCTCAAAATAGTTGAATTTAATAGTATATCTCAAAGTTTTGAGAATTGTAATGGTACCGGTCCAAATAACCCTTTCTCTTAATCTGAGAAACACCGGTTCTTTCTCCTCCTCCACTCTGACTCTCGAATCCACTCGATCTCGGTGATTTGCTCCATTGGAGGCCCTGCGGTTGCGCGCTTGAGGTCCGATTAGTCGATTCGTGAATCTCGTGACACTGTGGGCAGACCTCCTCGCGGTGGTGTGCCGAGTCAACTTGCTTCCGCCATCGACTGTCACCTCGAGTGGTGGTCTGCTGCTGGACGTGAGCTGTGGTGATTCGGGTAGTGAGCGACCTTTGCTGGGCAGCGTCTCCGCGCGCGTGCCGTGGTCGTTTCGACGGTGCTGTGTGCCGTCTGGTGGTGGTTGACTGGTGTTGTGCTGCTGGTTTTCACCGGCAGCAAGGTGTTGTTGTGCGAACGCCTGTGTGGTGTTGTGCGGCATTGTTCTGTTGCTGTCAACTGTGGCCTAGTTCTTGGGCTCCCTGCTGCGCGGTGTACCTCTGCTTCTCGGATTGGTGCCGTGGACGTCTCCCTCGGCTCTGACAGCGGCTCTAGTATCTCGTCTACCACCCGCCGTGCAAGCTCAGACGTGAGCGGCGGAATTGGTTTTCTGGGACAGAACCTTGTGTTCGCTTGAGCTTGTCTTCCCACGTAGACAATCTACGTTCTATTGGCAAATAGGAGGTTTCCAAATTCATGCCTAAGTACTCATCACTTCTTGGGTCGTAATTACTATTTTGCTAGGTTCAGTTATCATAGCTGTTCGTAATTCACAAACCATCCGACCGATGGTCATAATTTCTTCAAACATGTTCTTGAGTTTATTCAGACTTGAGCAAAACTCAGATTGGAGAAGAATATGGTCCCTGGGTTCCCTTTATTGGAACTATGTTCCTTTTTATTTTTGTTTCGAATTGGTCAGGTTTACCCATTGCCTTACTTGGTTTACAGTTCAGATATTTACATTTGTGCAATCTACTAGTACTGTGTTACTTGGGTGTGATTGCACTTGCGTGGGCGGATTAAATTGCTCGATGATACAAAGCGGTGTAGTGAGACAACGTGACAGTCTAAGAGTTTTAGAATGTTGATTATTTTCAGCATTGTCTAATTACTTGCCTAGAATTTTATCTCTACTGTTGAACTGATTACTTGCTGATCATTTAGTTGTTTAACCTGTGAGCATATAACCTGTGTTACTTCTAATATTTCTGTACTGCACTAAACTTCAGTAACTTGGCACTCGGTTATATTGCTGTCTTTCTAGGCATTTAATTTTTGATCTATAAACCCTATAATTTGTTAAGAAAGACTGTCACGTTAGTCTAGGATCTAAGATCACCAACAAGCGTTGGAAGGCTGCCTCGTGCAGCAACCCGTTAATTTGAGAGCAAATATAAATAAACAAATATGTTTATGTTGTTAATCTGCCTTCTTCATCTACATGCCATGTTCAATGTTGATATGAGCCTGAGTAGCTGTACATGCCATGTTCAATGTTGATGTGACCCTGAGTAGCTGTATTTATTCTATACAAGCTTTGGAATACCTCCTGTGCTTTTATATCACATTTTTGTATGGTCTTTCTCTGAGTAATATGCTTGTTATATTCGGAATTAGATTATTTAATTTATTTAAATATGTTGAAAGCATGTCACTTATATCTGCAATATTACAACAGTCAAGACTCAAGAGTATGTGCTGCTGCTGTTGCTGCTTCTGTACCTGATGGAGCAATGCAGGAAGTGCAGCAGGTTCACCACGCCAAGAACAGCCATCAACCAGAAGAAATAGTCCAGGTGGCCCTTGTTCAGGTCGTCGGGGATCCACCCTGGTTTCCCGTTGCGCGTCGTGACGGCCGCAACGGCGGCGAGCACGGCAGAGTTGAAGTAGTTGCCTGCCGCGACGGCGAGCTGCGCAAGGGCCGTGCCGAGGCTCTTCATGCCGTCCGGCGACTGATCGTAGAAGAACTCAAGGATGCCGATGGCCGCGAACACCTCCCCCGTCCCGAGCACCGCGAACGCCGGCGCCTGCCACATGATGCTCATCGACGGCTGCGTGTCCGGCGCTGCGTGGGCGAGCGACAACCGCCTGGCCTCGACCAGCGCCGCGTAAACGATGCCGGCCACGGAGAGCGCGAGGCCGACGCCCAGGCGCTGCAGCTGTGACAGGCCTCGCTCCTTGCCCGTGGCGCGCCGGGCCAGCGGCACCAGCACTCTGTCGTAGATGGGTACGCAGAACATGACGCTGATGATGTCAAAGATGGCGAGGGACGCCGGCGGCACGGTGAACGGCCCGACGTGGTTGTCCATGGTATGGCCTTGCTCGATGAAGGTCGACGACATCTGGGCGGTGACCGCGAAGAAGAGCACCATCGACACCCACACGGGGAACATCCGGAGCACCGTCTTCAGCTCCTCAACCTGGGACACCGTGCAAAGTCTCCATGGGCTTATCGATCCTTTCTCGCCGTCGCCAGAGGATGGCGCTACAATGGCAGCCTTGTCAAGGAACCTGGACAGGAATTCATGTGATTTATATCTATGTTAGGCATTTGGCAGTTTCATAAGTTTCATGTGACATAGTAATAATAATAAAAATTGTAGTTGACAGGATCAACAATTTTATTTAATTACCTGAATTGGCTTGTATGCTGGATCTTGCAATGATTTCCTTCAGTTGGGGAAGGCACCTGATGCAGGGCCGAGCTGTCTTCCGGCAAGACAAAATGGTAGTTCCTGACAGCAGCAACAAGCACCTGCGAGACTCTTGTCAGAGGGCTCCCTTCCACTCTTTGGTACCTGTAAACCTTCCTACCGCCGACGAACACGGCAAGTCCAGACAGCATGAGCACCGTCGGGATCGCAAACCCGACTCCCCATCCAATGTTGTCCTGCACCCAGACGACCACAGTCGCGGACAGCAGGGAGCCGATGTTGACGGAGAAGTAGTACCAGTTGAAGAAGGAGCCCTTGGTCAGCCGCTCCACTGGGTCAGCCGCGTCAAACTGATCGGCACCAAGGGCACAGACGCATGGCTTAATTCCACCGTTACCGAGAGCAACAAGGTAGAGGCCCAGGTACGCGGCGAGGCGGTGAATGCCGCGGTTGTAGGACAAGTCTATCAGCAGTGGAAGAAGAGCTGAACCAGTCAGGATCATCATCCCCTGGCATTGGCAACAGAACAGACAGAGTCTTTCTCAGATCCAAACAAACGGAGCATGCTTGCTTCCAACTTACTAGTAGTACATTGCTTATGGTATGTAACTTACAATGACGTATACCGAGATGAAGATTACTATTGTCCAGTATCGTCCCCAGAATGTGTCAGCCAAGAACGCTCCGATGAGCGGCGTGAAGAATGCAGTCCCAATCCAGGTGGACACAGTCGTCGCAGCATCGACGTTGCTCTCGTGGAGAACACCCGTGAGGTAAGTGACCAAGTTCTTTGAGATTGCGAAGAAGGCCACACATTCAGCGAATTCAGCACCTAGTTAATAAGGAATGCACAGATGACTCGGTTTCTTTAGTGGTATGACATGACTAAATTTGTTAATTTTTTTTAGAAAATGGAATATATCCAGCCTCTGCATCCACATAGATAGATGACTAAATTTGTTAAATAAGGAACACAAAGTAAGCAATTCTTGTAGTAGCGTGGTACCTAAAATACAGAAGCATGCTGTCCAATTCCCAGTTCTCTGCTTCCGGGCAGGCAGATTGCTAATATCAACCGTCCCGTCGCTAGTGAATTCAGAAGTTTCGTCCTGAAAATAAAAAGTACCTTTGTTTCCAAAAACCAAAAAAAAGCAACTAAAAGTATCTTGACAAGGAACTAGTCTATGTCGCTTTTGATATATGGTAAGGAGTAGTTTGAAGATGTATCACCTGTAGTGGCAGGTGATGGATCAGCGGCCTCTCCTCATCTTGTGCATCCATGGCCATGGGACCGGCTCAAATACCTCCGTTGGTGGAAAATCCAATCCAACTGAAGGAGATGAGCTTGCAGTAGCACACCGCAAAACTCAAATATCTCCGCTGGTGCCTGGTGGGTGGTGGTAAAAAACAAGAACATAAATAAAAACAAAGGACAAAGAGGATGTTAAGTCACTATCCATTTCCACATAAACTGCACACTGATTCCTTCTGAAAAACGAATTGCCCCTTTTTTCTTTGTTTGCCGGCAAAGCAATGAAGGTGGAAACACTCTCGATAATTCTATCATTTCGAGTATGAGCAAGGGAATACTCTATTAGTTCAGTCCCGCAGCTACTACCTTGTGTTTCTCCCAGCAAAAGGGAAAAAAAGGCACAGAGCACGTGCAGAGAGAGAGAGACCTGATGATGGCCGCGCGGTGCTCACGGTAGGGGATGAACCAAGCGAAGGAGGGGGTCACGGTCACGGTGGAGCAGAGAGCGTCTTCGTGTAGCAGGAGCAAGAACAAAGGCTTCACGGTAGCAGCGAGTGAATCAGCACCACGGCCACGGATGAGCTATATAAGCGATAGCGGAGCTTCCGACGGAGGACTGTTTGGAGCTCCAGGAATTGCATCACGTCACATCACGCACACACACAGGGGACTATTTAAAAATATATATATATACATATATAGGGTCTTTTTGGCATAACTTCATTATCGGTTGTGAGCTGTTTTTTTTTTTTGAAACACGCTTTTTTAAAATAGCTTCATAGATGAATCTATTTTTTCTCTCCTCTCAAAATAAGATGGGACAGGAGAGAGCTGGAAAAGTAGCTTATGACAACTCGCCCTAAAAGACTGCATGTGCCCCCTCTCAGCGAAGGAGCATGCGGGGATGCGTGGCGTCGGGGCGCTGCTCGCCAGGGTGCGCCCACCGGGGGGCGCGGTAGCCAGGGGTGCAGCCACCGTGGCACACGACCGCCAGAGCACGGCTCGCCGAGGCATGGCCCGCCGGTGTGCGGCCGCCGGAGCATGGCTCGCCGGGACGTGACCGTCGAGCTTGGCTCACCGGAGTCGCAGGGTCAGGTCACGATCGCAGGGCCAGGTCGCGGTCGCAGGCGCAGGGCCAGGGCGTGGCTGCGAGGAAGCGGGGCCGGGGCGCAGCCGCCGACACGGGCTGGGCGCGGCTGCCGTCGCGGAGCCTAGGGCGGGCGCGTCCTCCGGGGCGGGGCAAGGCGCAGCCGCGGGTACACGGGGCCAGGGAGCAATTGCGCGGCGCGGCTGCTGGCGCGAGCCAGGGCACGACCGCCGGCTTGGGGCTGGGCGCGTCCGCCAACATGTGTCAAGGCGTGGCGCGAGGAAGCGGGGCTGGGATGCGGCCGCCGGCATGGGCTGGGCGCGGCTGCCGTCGCGGAGCCTAGGGCGGGCGCGTTCTCCGGCGTGGGGCAAGGCGCAGCCGCGGGTACACGGGGCCAGGGAGCGGCTGCCGGCACAGGGCTGGGCGCGGCTGCCGGCGCGGAGCTAGGGCACGGCCGCCGGCTTGGGGCTGGGCGTGTCCGCCGACACGGGTCAGGGCACGGCTACTGGGACGCGAGGCGGGGCGAGCAGCAATCCAGGAAGAAACAGAGTAGGAAAAAAGATAAAATAAGGGTATTAGGGTCTTTTATCCTTTTGTTTCTCGGATGAAGTTGTCTTGTCGAACATTGTTTTCAAAGCGGCTCGAGCTTCACCTGTGAATCTGAGCTACGTCAAACAGAGCTGCATCGGGGACGATCGAGGAGCCAGATTTTTTCTTCTAATAAAAAGGGAAAAACCGCACAAATCTCCTTTCAAGCTTTTCCGTTTTCCCGAATATCCCTTAGATCAAGGTCAATAATAAAGTCAAGTACTTTATTATAGATCAAGTTATAAGAGCTAAGTTATATGGTAGGTGTTTCCTATTTATCTTAAAAGAGTTTCTCTTTCTTATTACTCCTCACAACACTTTCTACTTGAGCCACTAATGCATTTTGCATAAGAGCCAAGCTCTCATCTCTCTTTTCTCTTGTGTTATCCATGTTAGCATTAGCTTTGCTATAAACTCGTTATTATACTTGTTCTTATCGTAGTTTTTTTACTACTCCTACAGGATGGACTCCCCTAACAACATCAGTTTGTGGATCTGTAGCGGCTAATACAGAACGAGTCTAGACTCTGCTGTAGAGGGCACCAACAAAGAGTTCGTCTATTCCTGTGATTAACACTTGATTCGCCATCTTAAAAAATGGAGCAGACGCCAGTCATTCTCAACTGTACAAATCCCGTGGTTAGGTTGTTTTTTCCTCTTTTTCAGCTAGCTAGTGTTGGTGTGTTGGTTTGGTTGTTTTTTTTCGTTTTTTCCCTCTTTTTCAGCCAGCTAGCGTTGGTGTGTTGGTTAGGTTGTTTTTTTTTTCTCTTTTTTGGTTATAGAGTAAACACATTGAAACACAAAGCCGTTAAATTCTAAAATATTCGTTTACATGTGGAGTCGAATCTAAGATATGACGGGTTAGGCTATTGTAATCATTAGGCTTAGGATCGAACCTCGTCCTGTTCGTTTAGGCTGGTTTGACTTATAAGCCATGGCTGAAAGTACTGTTGACTGATTTGGTGTGAGAGAAAAATACGATTCGTTGGCTGATAAGTCATAAGCCAAATACGACTAAGTAAACAGGTTGCCAGTTCAGTCAAGTTTTAATCATTAACTTTACATACATGGGTGTTTGTATTTCTCTGACAAGCTAATCTAATAGTCGACTTGTCGTACGGCCAAATCGGCTGCATTGTCAAGAAGCTCAGCAGAGCATCGTTACTGTCCGAGGAGGAGCTCGATGACGTGTAGTTCCAGCTCTCATGCGCTCTCGTATTTCCCGCATCGATGCACGACGCTCCGTGGAACGGTGAACCCAAACCAACATTTTACGAAGACAATTTAGTACAGTAGACTTATAGTGCACAAGAAATTACGTCCAAATGCTAATTACCGGTGAATAAAATAAAATTACAGAGCTCACAAACAAGACATCGAGACAACAACTCTGTTTATACCTACAGTTTTGTGTCAGTACCGAATCTCAATTTGGAACCGATACTGGCCTGTTCGCTGGTTGGTGCTGATGCTGGTTTGGGCTGGATGATGTTAGTTTTTTATGAGAGAAAAATATTGTTGACTGGCTGATTTGAGCTGCCTGAAACCAATAAACGAACAGGCTCCGGGGCTAGTTGTTTCCTGAAGTAGCAACGATACTTGCATTTGGACAAGGACAGCAATAATTGAGTTTTTTTTTTTTTTTGGCCTTTTATTAGGTAGTGCTAGTATTATTTATTAGAATTAATCGCACCTAACACCAAAAGTGCTCAAAAGCAAAAGAGAGAAGAAACGTCGAAAGAAAAGACACGAAATAAGGACCCCTCGCACAAGTACAAACAAGAGGACACGACCGACCCTACGATTCCATTTGCAAATATTTGATTAAGCCCTTGTTTAGTTGGAACCTAAATTCTAAAAAATTGCTACAGTACCTGTCACATCGAATGTTTGTAGCTCGTGCATGGAGCATTAAATGTAGATGAAAAGAAAAACTAATTGCATAGTTTGGTGGGAAATTACAAGACGAACATTTTGAGCCTAATTAGTCCATGTTTAAATACTATTTGCCAAATAAAAACGAACGTGTTACAGTAGCTCCAAAATCCAAATTCATACAACTAAACAAGGCTAAGGCACGGGATTGCATTGTCGATAGGGATTGATTGATGAGTACCACTACCAATTATAAGAAGGCAAATGGGTGGACGGATGCCTTTATGTGACGGCACAGCAGGCCTGGTCAGTGAGGACTATGACAAATCGCGCGTTCCGATCAAATTAATCGTGCCCACAAATCTTAATGAAATGCAGTCAAGTACTCCCTCTGTCAAAAAAAAAAGTCTAAGACGTCTTAGCAAAATTTAATTTTTCAAAAGTCTAAATCGTTCTAGCTTTCTTTCTCCTGTTTTTTCAGTACTCGTACTCCAGCCAAATAAATGCAGCACCGCTCCCCCGTTTAAGTGCCGTTAGGCTTCGGTAAAGAGTTTCATAGTGTTGTTTGCAATACTGGTACGTTATATAGAATATAAATGAAATATGAAAAAACACTTACTCTCAATAAAAAAAATCATTTTATGATTTTATAGATATTTAATTTCATGACTCATAGATAGTTGTGTTGACACCGAATTTTGGACGGGAAAACACTAGATTTCAGGATTTATCGAAGAAAGCCGAAATACTCATAGACTAACTAAATCGCCATCAGAGTCGGCTAAATAATAGTGACATCATCATCGTGGTAAGAATGGATCCTGCGGATGAGGAGATAACGACGGTTGAAATGAGAAGATGTGACGGAATTCGTAAAATGGAAAGATTGGAGTCCAAATTATCTTAGATTAAGAATGTTTTATTTGTTTTCCAAGTTTGTAACCAGTCTTGTTTGACCAGGACCCGTAATCAAGTCTCGGGGTATAAATATTGAACCCCGGCTATTGTAATAGACATCCATCGATCAAACACAAACCCATATCTTTACTTTTTTGGTTTACGTCAACCCTAACAGTAGGAGTAGAGTAGATCTCGATAAGTTTTTTGGGCAAGCAGGGCTGCATCGGTTTGGCCGACCTCCGGTTTGTTTGTGAGTACCGTCACGACTTATATTATTACTTGTGAGGCTGCATCAACTGATTGATCTCTTGCAAGTCATAGTATAAGTTAGTTATCGATCTATATTATTATTTGTAGGGCTGCATCAGCTAATTGATCTCTTACAAGTCGTGGTATAGATTAGTTATCGATTGATATTGTTATTTGTAAGGCTCCATCAGCTGATTGATCTCTTGTAAGTTTTGATATCGATCAAAGTTGCCGATATTATGTTAAATAGTTTACTGTTTAATATAATATCACCAATTATCCAATCTAGACCAAGATTTATTGGTCTTCATTATATTGATCTATCGTCTGTTGGCT